GAGAAAGAGTGAGGTCGACGACTCAGCTCATTTATTTCCTCACTATAAACGATCTGACGCGCTTGAAGCTATCACTGTACACTAAAGTCGTCGCTTGGAAGGTTGCCGAATGTTGGGGAAACTGGGTCTGCATGGTTAGCACAACGTATGCTGTGTTGAATGGACCGCCTACGGATCAGGATGCAATAGCTCCTTCTTAATGTGACTTTTATGGCGCTCTCACGGAGCTGTGATCAGAGTCGGGTGTGGCGGCACGCATAGGTGTGGTTGCAGCCGCGCCAGCCACCTGCATAGTCCGATCCCGCCTCCGGTCTTCTTGACCCTGTCTTGACATCGGCCCAATGTGGGTAGGGGAAGAGTGAATGCGATTTATTTCTGCGCAAGTATACTATCACTTTAAACTAATTAACATGCAAGTCACCGTCCCTGAACCCCATTTTATGGAGCATACGGTGGACGTAGCCGAAGTCTACGAACGAACTGTCACTCTACCAAAAACGGTCAAACTGGGATTCTGTGTGGCTTGGCAACTATCGCGGAGGATCTCTGGAAAGAATATAACGTAAACCTCGATTTAGCGAATGCAGCCTTCGGTCCAACGGTTTTTTATTGCATCGCACACAATTACTTATGTGGGCGGGAGTGCCACGTTTATGTTGGGGAACACGTCGGTTCTCTTCTACACCGCCATCTATAAACCGATCATTAGACCTGTCGGAGAACGAGTCACCCGCCTCTTTTGTGACGAATTTAGCAGAGGACGCGTTCATTTAAACTATGTTTTGGCAATTTGGATATTTGGAAATATAGTTATTATGTACGTCTCATTCGTATACAAGCTTCCTTTTTGATAATCTTCTGCGAACTTCAAAATCACAACTATCACCTCAAGACGTAGCTATTAAACCTATTTCGAAAGTCCGTTTTCAATGCACCCTTGGCCCCAGCTTGCCCTACCACCTGCATTAGTGAAAACACTCATCTAATTCGATCGAACTTCCTGTCATTAACTGTTTTGAGTTTCCGTCTTACATAAATTGCCTACTTTTTGTCTGAGCTTGTGCGTCAGCCGGCCCACCCACAAATTCACGTGACTGGTAGCTAATTAGGCTACTGGGGAGGTGGGAAGAAAGAGTCCTAATCATCCAACACCTGTTTACTATCAGCTCAATATAAACTTGATATAATCTCAATGAAATTAATTTTAATTCATTTTCAGTGCAAGACTTGCGTCAGAAAAATTGCTACCACCAAAAATTCCAGCGCTAAATCCCCCGGCTATTTGGTATATGTATCTGAATGAGTCGCAATTTTCTTAGGTCAGAGCTTGCGCCAAGCCTCCCAGAATAATATGAGGCTGGAGGGGTTTGGATTTGATTTAAATTTTTAAACATCGTCAAACTGAAAGGTGTAGCCGGGTCCTGTCCCATGCATTTTGGTTCTTTGGCCCATAGTCGATTCACAAACAGCGACCTAGCGGCTCCATATTCTCTGTTGATATATTGTCTAGGCCGAGCAATTAACCATGCGGTGAAGACGCGGGCGGTCAAAGATTCCATTGACAGCGAGTCACATTGTCAAGTCATCATCATACCAAGAAACTAGAACGCTGGTAAAATTTCGATGATTAAATACTCGGACACAGACTAATGAGCAAACATCGCGTCGGTATGATCACCAGCGTCAAATTCGGCGCCAGTTAATTGGAGTAGATACGCGACCGCATGACAACTGTGTCCTATATGTACTACAGCCCTTACGCCCTCATCACCACTATCTGCATTCTCCTCTGATTATAGGTTCAAGTGAGAATCTCAAAAGTCAGCCCAATAAACGCCATGTTCCAGTGATCGCATTTTCTGTTCGATGAGGCTATCTTTTTACCTTCCTTCATTGCAAGGCGAAGAGCACGCTTCCGTTAAAAGAATTAACATTCACTTAGAGGAAAAACTGTTGCGCATCTCCTTTAGATGACACTTTATTCGATCAGAACGGTCACCAAGTCACCCCAACTAGTCTCGATGTGAATATGCTTCGTTGAGTTGCCTTAGCTGATTGACTTGGCTAAGCAGGATACAAATGTTTGCCATTTCGAGCCTTTTCGCTCAGGGATTTTTCCCATCATAAATAAAGCACTTCTCTCTCTCTCTCTCTCTCTCAATGAAAAGAGCCATTTTATAGTGGAATGAAAGCCTTAAATCCTCTCTCCGGTCGTTGCGATTGCGGTAGAAGTTATTTGATGAACAGTCGTGGAGAAACCGTACTGCATTCTTCGACGCCTGGACGCATTGATTTCGACTTTCTCGAGGTCCACAGACTTCTAAAATTTCCTCTGTACTTACTTGTACTTGTTACGGCTGTGATCATGCCTGATCTAGCCGGC